TTTTTCTCTTTTAATTTTATTTCAAATTTATTTTTCTTTTAGCTTTATCAAATAATGAATATGAAATATTTAATAACATATCAAGAACGTTTAATCATTGCCAAATATCCTCAAGTTTATGTTTTATTTTAAGCTTTTTTTTGTCAAATTTCATTTTGATAAATTAAGAAAATATTCGATCATACAACAAATGTTTTTCTCTTTGTCTGTTCTTAATGATCAATTCTCATCAATTCAAAAAGAAACAAATCATTTCTTTTTTTTTATTTCTAGATTTAATCATGACCGATGATGATAGTACTTTTGATATTCACCTTACCAAACTTATTGGTAAGTTCTTTGATATATTTCAGTTTCTTTTTTTTCTATTCGAGCGAAAATTCAACAAACGATTTTAAATATACTGTTAACCGTGATATATAATCACCATCACGATCATACCCTCGATCACTCTTTCTTCTGTTGTTAACATATGTTACAGTTCGCGCTCACGAAGAGTGACGAACATAGTTAAGATGGGTTTTCTTCTCTCTCTGTTTATTCTTTGAGAAAACAAATGTTTATATACGCAGACGAGAAAACAAGGACAAAATAGAAAAGAATATAAAGGTCAATCAAGGACAAGAAAAGTAATAGAAACGAAATAAAAGAAACGAAAAATATCAAAGAAAAGAGAATAGATAGAATCCAGGTATATGTTATAGAAATGCACTGTAACAACATATATCCTCTCTCTTGTTATCATGTATTCACTCTCTCTTCTGTGGTTATCCTTTATTTTTTTTTGTTTTTTGACTATATATATGTGTGCAAGTGTGATTATTATATAGATATAGAGAACAAACTAAAAGCTCATCAGATACGAGCTGGCATATACCAGAACATGATGAAATCAAAAGATTACTTCGTTCTTCAAGTACGAATATTCTTATAAAAGTGTATTTTTAGATTTGATCTACAGACCCATGTCGCCACTTTTTTAACAACTGCGTCGCAGTTGCGCGTAACTGCGGCGCATTGATCGCACTTACGCGTAACTGCGTCGCAATTCGAACACATGCGGATTTTTTTTCGATTGAATAAAAATGGTTCAATCAATAGATGCAATCGGGTAAAACTTTAATTGCACGTGCCGTAGCTAATGAAACTGGTGCATTTTTCTTTTTAATCCATGGACCAGAAATTATGTCTAAATTACCTGGTGAATCTGAATTTAATTTACGTAAAGCATTTGAAGAAGCTAAAAAGGTAAAGTTAATTTACTAGTTAATTTCTAGAAAATTAAGAGGACAAATTGAAGAAGTTAACTGTATATTTATTATAATACAAATTTTATTTAAATAATTTTTTTTTTTGTTTTTAGAATGCTCCAGCTATTATTTTCATCGATGAACTTGATGTAATTGCACCAAAGCGTGAAAAAAGTCATGATGAAATTGAACATCCTATTGTTTTACAATTATTAACATTAATGGATGATCTTCAACAATGTTCACACGTGATTGTTATGGCGGCAACAAATCGACCAAATTCAGTTAATCCAGCACTTCGTCGTTTTAATCGTTTTGATCGTGAAGTTGATATTAGTATACCAGATGCTGTTGGTCGTTTAGAAATTCTTCGTATACATACAAAAAATATGAAATTAGCTGATGATGTCAATTTAGTTCAAATAGGCAATGAAACTCATGGTTATGTTGAAGCTGATTTGGCATCATTATGTTCAGAAGCTGCATTACAACAAATTCGTGAAAAAATGGATGTCATGGATTTACAAAACGATACAATCAATGTTGAAGTACTCAATGCATTAGTGGTTACAAAAGAGAATTTTCAATTTGCACTTAATCAATCAAAACCATCAGCTTTACGTGAAATACTTGTTGAAAAACCAAGAACAACATGGGAACATATTCATGGTTTAAAAAATGTTAAACGTGAATTACAAGAACTTATTGAATATGATGTTGTATATCCGTACAGATTTCTCAGATTTGATAAGATACCATTAAGTGGTGTTCTCTTGTATGGACCACCGGGTTGTGGTAAGTTCATCGAAAAAAAAAAGAAATTTTTTTCATCTTTATATATTAATATTTTCTTATTTTAGGTAAAACATTATT